TTGAAAACATCTTGATATATTGAAAAAAGAAGGCGATCGGCTTGGTTCAAATAATCCATTTTGAATGTCAGACAAACGATTCTTTTCTCCTGATTGAACTACTTATAGTTATATCTTCTTACAGATTTGTGCTTGAAACAATTCTGTGTATATTATTTTTTTAGTATATGTACTCTGATTTGTATATAAAAATGATGCTTTGAAATGCTAAACATATTGCTAATTAAGACGCCTGATTCAAAACTTTTCTGCGGGTTAAGTTAAAAAAGGAAGCCTTGCAGTTGATAGAATAAAATTACTGTATGTAATGCCAATTATTTAGAAAAAAAAGATTTGTGAATCAACGAAATTCTAAAACAGCAGTTATCGCTTTGTATTTTTCTATTTGCAATGTACGAAACACCTCTATTTTACAGATTTGTTCTTGAAATTTTGATAAAATGCGACTCCAAGAAAGATGGGGTGTGGATGTGTGGGTGGGGGTCTGGATGTGGGTGTGGGTGGGGTGTGGGTGTGAGTGTGAGTGTGGCTGTGGGGTGTGGGTGTGAGTTTAGCTTTTCTTCATCTAGACCTACATCCACACCCACATCCACACCGCAATACGGTCGCTGTCAAACGGGTGAAACACGGCCAGTTTAGGATCGTGGTAACCATCGTCTTGGATTCCTTTAGCGCAGAAATTTTTGAATATCTGGGCCATACGTTGATCAAAGGGACTGGTTCCTTTACTACTGATAAAGTAATATTCATAGATCATATCCATAAGAGAAACATTGACCAAACCTGTTTTAAAGTATTAGAACTAGCATGAATAAAGAAATGAAACCTTTCACGAATTATGAAAAAACAATATTTATATCGCCACGAATGTGTTAATATCCTCCTGATTACTACGTAGCAATAGAGATATGAAAATTTAGGGTAATATGTATCTTGCCATAAAGGATTATCTGTCAAAGTTTGAATGTTTTAGATATGTCATAAGTAAGAAACGAGCAATTTTTCGAGAGATCCCACAACTTATGGATCACACTGTAGCACTTTCGTCAGTAATGAAAGTCTACTATACTGTGGTCAACACCTTCGATAGAATTTCGACAATTTGATTATTAATTACACTTATATGTATTCTGTGTTAATACTGTTTCGTCACAACTGGTGAAACACCAATATGCTCTCTGCAATTTTGTCAATTGACGAAAGTACAGTGGAGTTTCGCCAATATACGCCGCCTGCAATTTTGACACTGACGAATGTTCTGCTCGCGAAAATCTTATTGACGAACTTTTGGCAAGTCTTTTAGTTCTATGAACATGGAAAATATACAATGAAGTTAAATTCAAAAGAAATATAGAACAGACAAATTAAAAATATGTTTCTCTTGGAAAGTGTTCATTGATGCAATTTAAACTAAGAAATAAAATAGTTACCATCACCATCAAATTGGAGTAACGGATCCAATATTTTTATAAATGCTGACGATTATGATCAGAAAATGTATTTTGAAGTTCAATAAAGCGATATGGATACATTTTTGGGATTTTTCTTCAGAATAATCGGGAAAGTATGTTGACAATAGGGGACACGAATCCTAACAATCCCCCTAATCCGCCATTACTGCTCTCTCGTTCAATAATTCTTTCATGATGATGATGTACTTCGCGTGGCATTGCTTCTTGCTGTCGTTTATATTCGTCGAACTCTTTTTGCCGTTGATCAATTTGTGTCTGTAGTTTTTCACGTTCTTCTTCGAAACTTCGTTGAATTCTCTTCGATTCTTCAATAAGGTTTTTCATTTTATCAACATTCAGTTGAATGTCACCATGTTTCTCGTGAATGTGAGGCTTACAGTTCATGATGGCACTCATCAGTTTTCTGCGCATTTTTTCTCGTTCGTCTAATTCCGGTGTTGAATCTTGCAATTTATCTGATGTCGGAGCATCATGTTTTTTGAAGAAATTTTTTGCGCCTTTTAACTTTTTTCCAACAAAATCTATTCCATGCGCCTTTGCACTCGAATTAGAGTTCTCGTTTGGATTTGCTGATCCAATGCGATCATTGTAGCTTAGTGTTTTTTTACTGATTCGATCCAGAAAACACATTCGAACGTTTGGAATTTCTACAAGACATTCTAACTTCATAGCTGTTCCACCTTCGTATTTAGGTGAACGATCATGGGGTAGATCGTTAATAATCAACAGTAATGCTTCCGGTTCAAAATGATAAACATCGTTTATAGCCTTGAAAGCGACAACATCTTCATCACGAATACGTCCGCCAGAACCACCGTTAAAAACAAAAGCAACGACAGAGTTAGGTCGTTGTTGAAATGCTTTGTAAATCTCAGTTTTATTTCGATCGACAGCTTCTTGTTCAGCTTCGATGAGGCCTGGAATGTTGAATACAGCAAACGATCCATTACCAATAGCATAATCTTCAAATTCTGTTTCATGTGTTACACTTGACGCGCTACAGTCATGTTCAAAAACATCTCGACCAAGAACAACATTGCCAATAAATGATTTACCAACGCCCGTATTTCCAAGAAGTATGAGACCATATTTTGAAGTACTGTTACTATGTATTGTTCGTTGAGCACACATTCTGAGAAAATAACTGTAAAAATAAATATATGAAATTTTGGATTTAAGAATTTTAGAGCTCTTTCTCTTGTCATGAGATAACATAGCGTACAATAATATTTCAAAACAAGTCTTCTAATGTAATTTAAATTTTGTTCATTAACAAGATAGCTACATAGATGCATATAAAAGAAAATATATCAGTGTCACTAAATAATTCATTCATTCGTTTTCTTTCTTTTCTTTTCATGTACTGAATCTCAATATACTGCTTTCCATTCTCAATTTCCTTTTTTCCGCTTTATCTATAGTAGGAATTATATGATACACTCGATGTTCGTAGTATTTGTAGTACTATGGGCAAACGCAGAAAACAGTTTAGAGAAAGTACTAAGCAGGACATTGAGAATGCTCAGTCCTTTCTAAAATAAAACGAAAGCAAATGATTAGAACTGCTGTACACATTGGTATAAACAATTTTTAGCGAGAATAATATGAGGCTAAATAGCAACGAGACTGTGAACATCGCTTCCAGTATAGGTATGCACCGAACCTCGGAATCCTGGATTCGGCTATTCTTCTGTTCCATCGTTTCCGGAGATCTATCATCTTCGTAAGCGAAAATCTACACTTCCGGTCATTCTTCTAACTTGGCTAAGAGTAATTAGTGATAGAATGTACTGAGATCGGGAATTCCAAGTTCGATCAGTTTTGTAACCTAACTAAAACTAAGAAATAATATTCACTGTTGTATGGAAATTATGAGAATGGTTTAACGAAGGATTTGCGTTCACGAGAATGGTCGAGTTCGATAAGTTCCGACTCACGAGGAAACCTCTGCAGGTGCCCCTCCAGATTTCAATGATTCTTTGGCTATAGATACTACATAGTGTCCTAATGACAACTCTAAAAAGGATGTGGGTTCCTATTAAGATCTGACGAAATTATTGAATTTTCAATATATCTACTTCTGAAAGATCCCTGTGGGAGATCTCATGTTTGAAAAAATCGTTTTCTCGAATTTTGATCTCAGACTTTACGCCAATGGAGACCTCAATCAGGCTAGCTCGCACAGAAAATTTCACAAGCTTTGAATAATGTCTCATTGAGATGTGAAGCTTTTAAAAAATGCATGTTGAATACATTATCTGTAGAAAAAAAACTTATATCTTGCAAGTTCAATGCCTTGGCGAAACTCTGTTCAAAACTTGTGCAATTTTCTGTGCGAGCTAGCCTAATTGAGGTCTCCATTCGTGCAAAGTCTGAGATCAAAATTTGAGAATGCAATTTTTTTAAAACATGAGGTCCCCCACAAGGAACTCTCAGAAGTAGATATATTGAAAATTCAATAATTTCGTCAGATCTCGATAGGAATCCAAATCCTTTTAGGGTTGTTGTTAGGACACTATGTAGTATCTATAGTCAAAGAATCATTGAAATCGGCAGGAGGTACCTGCGAAGGTTCCATCGTCCGTGGATGCCTAGTTGAGTAGGCTTATGAGAGTACAACCCAAAATGATTCATAGTTTTCTCACTATTTTTGTTTTTAATTATACTGAATTTTATTCGTGACATCCATATTTTGTTGTGTTTTTTATACAATTTTTGCGGATTCTTACGAACATAGGAGCCAACAGACAAGATAACGATAACAAACAGAGAAAGAATGACATGGAAGTGAAAAAGAGCAGAACGAAAATCGAAATCGAGGCAGTAATGACGAGGTCGGCGTGCATTGCTGTTCTTCCTCCATTTATTCTTCCGATACCGTATATCTTGACACCGAAGACACCATACCGGGGGAAGTAATCGAACCCTCTGATGTCTGACTAACAATCAGATCCATAGAACCACTATGCCATCCCCGGCCAGTATTCTAACTAATATTTTGTTCTTAAGTAGGGCTTAATGGCACTAGAAAAAGTCTAAAGAGGTAAGAGCGCATAGATATTCCTCCTTGGATTATGATTGATTTATTAGGTTTATGAACACAGTCAAACGATCCTAACTCGAGAAAGAAACTTTATGATCTCCTACCGTTTTAGCCCTTTATTGATTCCATGGAACCCTCTACTTGTGAACAAAATATCAGCAAGAAAATTCTAAATTACTTCAAATGGTTCTCTCCTTAAAGATAAGCCCAAAGTTAAAAGTTTCGAATTGTTTATAACGACTACATGAAGCCAAAGTTTCTTAGACAACGGTTACTCTTATCTATAATATTCGCCACATATACCGGGTGGCCCAAAAGTAAGGAAACAAAAATGGTATGCTATA